AGGCAAAAATACGAAGTACGAGTAAATTGGAATTTTTGGACATAATAATTATTATACTCGTGATTCTCTTAGATTATCTGCGAGTTTGAACTCTTAGGTGTGCAAAATTGGTACAGCAGGTATAACAGTCCCAAGTGTCGAAGTAGAAAGTAAAATATTCCACATCTTGTTCCTCAAAGTGTAAAATTTATTAAAAGATAAGCACAAAATTATGCCAAACAGGAACCTCAAATGCTTCGTCCTCGTGAAAGTAATTTATCATTACAGGTGCGATAAAAATGAAAATATAGAAAGCATCACTGACATAATTATTTTTAATCTCTATGAAGGAAAATTTATCGAATTTTCTTACGTTTAGAGATTGTAGGTTTATATGACAGAGTTCATAAATCTTTCTCTCTACAGCTCCTGTATCCTGTCATTTATTTATTATATTTCGTTACATCTGGTAAATTCCTCCCTTCTAGCGTGCACTAACTGGAGATTACAGATCTAACTTGCAAAGATACGTTTTATCCCTTGCCGATTATGGCATTACATGCAACAGGGGTAAGAAACAGTTAAGCAGTTAAACAATTGTTTCGACTGACAAGTACCACCGTGGAACATAGTTTTATAATTTTTAGATATGTTTAGTCGAGTAAAATTCTCCAATTATAAGATCTGATCAAGACGATTCCAGGTTATACGGTGTGGCAGTTAGACTTCAAGGATTACTTGAATCCAGTCTGACCTTTATCGTTTTATTAACCACGTCAGCTTAGGAATGCCCCATCATCTCAAGTAAAGCTTCGAGTCTCATAGAGATACGGATAGAAGCGCATACCTTCGGGGTCCTCCCAGATCAGCGATGTAGCTAGAAATTATGCAAACCGATCTGCTATACACAATCCTGAATCTGCTTGAATTTTGCCTTCTACACAGTTACTTCGATGAGTCAACGCAGATCTTTCACGTTTCCTTATCCTTCTCCGATCTTTTTTATGTTAACGAGTTAAAGAATGAACTCAACGAAGAAAAATTATTTGGAATAAACTTCCAACGAGGACTGACTAATTAAATAAGTAATATGAACGTAATTATTTTCGAAGTACTTAGAATTTAGAAATTTTCCAGCGGATGTTAAGCACAGATATCAGAAGCCTTTAAAACGCAGAATTTACTACTTTTTGCGTAATTGAAATTTTTCACGAAAATTTTATAAATTCCAGCAAGCAAAACGTACCTGGGTCCAACCGGTCAACCCTACATTAGTTATATGTTTGGAAAAAATTTGTATAAATTAGTCTTTGAATTTGATAGAAAGTAGCTTTTAACGTGATAGTGATACTATAATACTATGATTTATATACACTCTACACATACTATATGCAAAGGACTCTTTTTCATAGTATTATAAAGCAGTACAAGAGTGTTGTTGGTACTTGAGTAAATTTATGCATTATCAATACATTTTTTTCTTGAAAGCATTATTGTACTATTTTCCCTCTTAGAAGGCACAACTAAAGGTACAACTGTTTAAATTAATAAAAAAAATGATTTCTTTTTATTGTATTTCTTTCTGGTTTTCTCGTGACCACAAAATTTTATTAAAAAATTTCACGTTGCTAGGTGTATTAACATACTACCAACCGAACGAATTGCAATTGATTAAATGTCCAAGATTGTTGAAAAATTTTTAGAGAATGTTGTATTAGAAAAATGGATAATGTAAAATTGAACGATGATTCGTTAGATTCGCGAGTTAGACGCGAGAATGAAATATCATTCGTTGCGAATGATGCCGTAAAAAATGGTAGATCTACCCGATCGATCGGCGGTGTGTTAAAATATGGTAAGTTTATTCACAGCATTTCAACAATCCGTAGAGATCTCAACTCCTCGATCTTTTTCATATATTTTCATAATTTTACTTTCAATAAGGTGCAATAATTTTCTTCGTAATATTCGTGACAAACAGTTCTAAATATTACGTGTTAATTCAAATGCACGGTAAACGCAGAATAAAATATGTTCCCTTTTATGCGTTAAATAACTCCAACGTGTAGAATAAAATAATGCGCGGATGAAACTTCCGGGTGTGGTCTTGCTTGAAAAGCAATGGGATTGTACCAGCTACAGGGAATGAGAAGCGCGCAATGAATGCAAAAGCGTACCGCTTCGTTATTATTAATTTTCAATATCTTAAAATTAATAATAACGAAGCGGCGCGCTTGTGGACAATACGTATGCAAATCAGCAAGATAAAAGGTAATAGTTCGATATAAACGTACGTGCCACGGTAGAGAATGCATACATTATACAACATTACACATGGTACCTTCAATTTATTATTTGATCGGTGAATCTGTTCGATTAAAATTTCTTCGTCAATTACGAAGATTTATACGAGACATATACAGGGTCTCGAATAGTTTTTGAGAATTAAAAATCACTTCAACCACCTTTATTCCTTGTTACCGCGTGATTTATTTTGAATTTAACGAAAACACACATTTTGTGCAAGTAAGGATTCAAGAGCTATATTCGCAACCTGAAAAAGATCTGCTAGAAAGTAAGGCTACAATCTTTCACAGCCTGGAACGACCTTTTGCTACAACTTGAATCTTGAACCCGTTTTAGAGACCACCATGGAAATGAGGATACAAAGTGTAACATTTCATTTAACAAGATTTTTATACGAAGGAATAACTCATCGATGCTAACTCCTTACAACACACATCTGTGAAATATAAAGTTCGTCGAAATTACACGTATAATACCAATTTTCACCTAAAATATCTATATTATCCTACAGATTGCACATTATTTTATTAAACACAAAATCCCAGTTCATATTTTCTAGTATTACATGTATTCGTCATCATGTCACATTGTTAAAGAAAAGGGAACAGTTGCTCCGCAACATAGACCAAACGATCTTGAAAATTATACACCTACGTATCAAACTTCGAAAAAAAAAACAAAAAGATTTGTACATTTTGCGCATAAGCTACAATTAAAATTGCAAATTTTGCGAGCGACAAAGTAAATTTGGCTTTGCAAAACGAAATGTATCAATTCCACGCTACATGCTATGCACAATAACTTTGGCTGCATAATTACCAATGCATGTTTGAATAAACTCAATACGTGACAAATTAATTGCTACCGACCGACACTTGTTGCTGAAAGATCCGTGCAAGGTAACATTCGTTCTATCATGTAAGGTGTTTGACAACAGCTCTGAGGTGGGGCAAAATTGTGAGGGCGAGATGCTACGAGGAGAATGGTTAGAGGGAATGGGAAGGGAAAATCATCTCGAGCGTCTTCATATAAATTCCGGCAGTACTAGTACATGGTACTGCAGATTCAATTCTTGTACAAACCAACATCACACAAGATCCGTCATCATGCAGCACTTAGTGAGTGATTGCTGTACACGCGTATCAACATATCAGTGATAAATATTAAAGTGAAGATGAGATTTACCGTCGAATAGTATTTCAAAATCATAAACATTAATATACAAATCAGTTTCAGTTATATTGACTTGTTCTCATAACGTAATTAGCTCATGCAACCTTACTCGGTATTTTGTACCTTGGACGTTTAGTTAATCCTAATTCGTTTGTACTGTTTTACGAATTCTTCTTTGTACAATTTATTTCTTAACGAGAGTAGTTTGTTCTGTGCCAACGTGTGAAAGATACAAATTTTATCTGATGAGAAATATCGTCAACCCTTTTAGATATCTTCCACAGTTCTGAGATCGTTTCGATCTCAATTACACGTGAATATTGTACAGCACTTATGTCCAATCACAATCGCCTTTAACTCTGTTTTCTAAAAACAGTTTAAATAATTCCGTCTAAATTTCAAAAATACAGCCTGATAACGGATCGAATTATAGCGATGTAACATTTGTAGTGTTTGCAAACACTACGAGTCTACTTTTAACAAAGTAAAATATACAAGTAAAACCTACTATTCGCATAATAAAGTTCATAACATTCGTAATAGTTGTTTGGAACGTAAGGTTCAACGCTGAAATTACTAAAAACACGTCTGATTGCAGTTATTGGCGTTTGCTCTATTTGGCTACGCTGCGGGACAATACGGTGCTTTTCGTGGTTTTCCAAATCAAAATGCTTATCGACCAACGTCTAGGCCAAACTTCCCGCAACCGACGATACAACCACAATATACGCCTCAGTATAAGTATGTACTTCTATTTTTTCCAAGTTCTGTACTACCGTTATTCTATTTAATACATTTCCAAACGATGCATCGTTATTTCATAATCGACCAGATTGGTTAGTGAAAAATAAACAATCTTTTCGTAATAATAGAGAATAAAAACAGAATGTGCAACGTCGTATCGTAAAGTTACCTGCTGCAAGAGGAGTATAATATTCTTCTCTTAACTCGATCACTTAGTCTAAATTAATTGATCTAAAAATTTTTTTTAAATCAACAATACAATATGCCATCTTTCCAAAGTACCAAATGCACATATTTCATGTGAACGAAACATTACGAGAACCTCGATAGATACGAAAATTGTTAAAGTTTAAATACTGTTGAACAGTATTTAAATTTCTACGTGATAATTTACAGTAGTCCTGGGAGATTCGTAGCTATCCGTAGCCAGCAGAAAGATACGTACCCAGACGGATCCTATACGTTTAGCTACGATACGGAAAACGGAATTTCTGTTGCTGAAAGTGGACGTCCGCAAGGTACTGGACAAGGACAAAGCGAGGTAATAATCTTTTATTATAACGCGTAATTATGCCTAAAAAAATTCACATTCATGAATTAACCCTAGAGCGGTCTTCGTTTTGGCTGTACACCTGAGACTTTTGGGTGAAAAAGGGCCTAAGACCTTATGTGTAATAATTTTTGTTTTCAACGCGACATACGAACCTAGACAATAAACGTTTAAAGTAATGTTAAGGAACGTAAACTTGACAACAAAAATTACTAAAAATATAAAAAGGCGGTGGGTCAAAAAAGACCCGAAGACCGCTCTAGGGTTAACACAATATGCATAACTCTATAAATTATAATGTTCAATTTGGGAAAAATAACTTCGTGGAATATTAACATTATCGTTCTGCGTGCAGTAAAAATTCAATACGTTTCAGAAAAACATGCATATTTTAAACTGTCCATATTACATTCTGTGCGCACTAATTCAATACTAGTGCTTGAAAACTAAAATAAAACCTTGAATTTTTAATCTTTAATCCTGTTGGGGCGTTGCCGCTGATCACGATTTACCACTTATTCATAATAAAATAGTTCGTTCCTCTTCTTATGCAGGTACAATGTTCGAAAATGCTCGAAATAAGTACAAAATTCCGTCCTATATGTGTGCTGTAAGTAGAGCTAATTTTTATTTTCTGCATATCAATTTCTTAGGTTGTTCAAGGTAGATTTTCGTATTCTGCACCGGATGGAACCCCTATCACTGTAGAGTATACGGCCGACGAAAATGGTTTCCATCCTCAAGGTGCGCATTTACCGACTCCCCCTCCAATTCCAGAAGCCATTAGACGAGCTCTTGCTGCCAATCCACCTGGACCCGACGATTCAGATTATAGACAACCATACAACCCAAATCTTTACCGAAGATATTGAATAAAATTTTAACTGACTAATCTCATTTTAAAAACCTCCAAGCATGCATTCACTCTTTATTGCCTTGTAACTCAACGTAATTTGTACATATGTATATCGTGAGAAACAGAAATATCAATATTTACAACTATATAACAGTCACTATACGATACAAATTTCTCTACCTTTCCCAATTTTGTTTCTCTCCTTTTCTGTTTCCTTCTTTCCCTGTTAAACGTATTCGTTACAAATCATTATTACGTTACTATCACATATTCATTGTACTCTTCGAGTAATATCATTTATGCAATCTTCATAAGAGCTACGCGACCCTCATTATGACAGTTCCTGTCTAAAACACGTTAGAGTGCAGTTATCGCATAACCAGTGGAAGCAAGTGATCTTTCCGAAGCGATAATTTCTTCTCCGCAAATATTGCAGCTACAAATTCCTTAAATGCAATAAGGAAATGCAACGAAAGAGCTGCGTTTAGTAAAAAATGTTTATACGATGCAAATGAACAACTATTCCCAACTGTAGAATTCATAATTCTCGTTGCGGGTTTGGTTTTACGAGTGTGTTGTGGTGTGAAAGATGGCGTGAATGTCGTGTGCTTGTTTTGCATATTCTGGGAGTCGGTGTGGTCTGTGGTTGACATTCGTAAAGGCTCGAGTTTGGCGAAGCAGGGAGTGAGCCATAGACAATAGGAGAGTAAACTACAGAGCAGCGTGAGAGAAAAGACAAAGGGGACTCTGAGTAAGAGTGAGAAATCATAAGAGAGCGTTATTCAGTTAAACAATATTTCCACTAGTGTATTAACCCTTTGCACTCGAGGGCCCCGGAGCGGAGCCATTTAAAGCCATAGACAATAGGAGAGTAAACTACAGAGCAGCGTGAGAGAAAAGACAAAGGGGACTCTGAATAAGAGTGAGAAATCATAAGAGAGCGTTATTCAGTTAAACAATATTTCAACTAGTGCATTAACCCTTTGCACTCGAGGGCCCCGGAGCGGAGCCATTTAAAATTTGTCTTCAAACTCGAGGGCTCCGCTATGGAGACAATGCAAATAATTTTCAGTTCATAACATAAGGACAAAGACAAATCGTAAAAACTATTGTGTATAGGATATTCCGCTCTTGGTGACAAAAGACGGTCGCAGCTCGCGGATTATTTTTGTGATACCTGTATAGAAAAGCCAAGATTACATATTGGCGATTGCTTCGAGAGGTATCACACCTTGGACGATTACAAAATGTAATAATTTTATAACTTTTTGTTTTTTTTTTATATATTATAACATTTGTATCCATAATCAATTGAAAAAACAATAACATACAACAATGACTTTTCTTTTAATGCGCACATCATTTACTTATATGTGAATATGATCTTTCCACTGAAATTGCTTCGAGTTGCTGGTAATATGAATGAAAAAAAAAACTTCCAGTGCAAAGGGTTAATATCTTCGTTGTGTAATTGTCTTTATTGAATATGTCTATATTAAAATTCCGACCACGTGTTATTTAGCCACACTCGTGACATAATCGATATTCGTAATAGACGTGAGACATGTTCAAAGAAATAGCAAAATATTACAACCGAGGTCAAAATTTATATTTAAATAATAATACCTACATAAACATAATAATTTATGAAAAGTTTATACTGTTTTAAAAATAGCTCAAACCTTGCCAAATTATTTTCGGACACATTTAGCGACGAACAGTGCTATTAGTGCATAATCTCTCTCGACTAGTGGAGCTATATAGCTAGATCTGCTTAATAAAAGTAAAGAATTAGGATTTTCAACTTGCACGTCCTTTCATTAAAGAAAGTACGAGACACTTCACAGGAACTTTACACACCTACTGTATAGGTACACTTTTATGGCGTCAAATTGCAATTAGAATTCTGTCACTATTTCAAAAAAAAAAAAAAGGTGTTGGATCAAAAGGTATTTAGACACCTAGCTAAATTCTCCTCTGTCTCTCACCTTAAACATCCTCCGACTCTACTCCTATCTTAACATCAGATAATCCTCCCAACACACTCTCCCCAAGGACCGGGATCTGATCCACTTCTCAACTTAAATGGATAATTAAAAAAAAAAAAAGAAGGTATTGTAAGATAAGCAATGGAACTGAACGCAAAGTTAAGAAAGCATGTAGCTACATTTTTCTCGAAATGAAGTCTATTCTTTACCAAAATTAAAAGTGAAAAAATGTTATAGAAGTACATTTCAACGAATTGAGAGATGCACCACTTCGATGACAAATAATTGTCCTTTGCTGGGAAGTGTTATTTTAAACTCTTCAGGGACACCGACGCATATGTGTACCTTTAAATTCCAATATTTGCCATAGAGAAAATATGAAAAACACAATCTCCCGAAATCTCCTAAGGAAAGTAGTTTAATTGCTATCGATTTAACACGAATATAAATGTGTACTAACTACATAAAAAGTTAGATCAATATTTTCTGATTTTAAAGAAAATCGTCCCTGAAGGGGTTAATAAACGAACTTCGTGTTAAAATATCTGATAGAGTAAAGAGTGAGTGCACTGTTTAATGGAAATGTATGCATCGCAGATCTTTCGCAGAGTGCTGAGAATGAACGATCTTGTAAGTTAACACATCTTGCGCGGGTGCTTTAAACTCTCACCGGCTAGCGGGCGATTTTTTACAATTCGTACGCAAAATTACTTCTGCACAACATAGCTGTAGTTTTTGAACTTTAGGCGAACAACATTTTACAAAGTGCACTCCTCTCACAGAACGAAGTCTCTCTCCCTTCCTTCAGGGATGAAACGGTTTTCGCAGGATTCCTTTGACTTTGCGTATTACCCGAGTTCGATTGGCGCACGGAATATCGTACTAGCAACGGTGAGAAAGGAAAATTTGACACTTTGCAGGAAGGTGGTTTCTTAAAAATTATTTCTTCCGTTTTAATGCTGAGATATACGGGCGTCGACCTAGTACTCATGTGTATCCGATCTTATTGTAAAAACATTACAAAAGCCCATCGATAACAATAATCCGTGCAAAACGACTTTAGTCGCTTCCCGCTCAAGATGTGTTAATAATATTCTGGTGTGCGCAAAGTCAAAGTCAATGAAAATCGATTAAACGAAGTAAATCAACTTTCTCGTGTGTACGTAAAAGTATAACGGCAAACAGCAAGCGTATGTGTATATACAATGGGTCACAGTGAAATACGGAATGACTCGTGACGTAACTTGTGAACTCACACCTTAATACTACGGTAAAGCACGCTAGTTGAACTTCAATTGCACCATGCCTCTGACTGATACGTAAAAATCGCAGTAAATGAAGGAGGATGAATACAGGTGAAAGTGTTCTATTGGATCTTTCATTATCTTACATTTTTCTACAATTCATCCCGGTCAAGGATTGGCTGAAACGAACGATGCAACTTGGGCGGTTTCGTGCACTTCCTTTCGAAGGTTCATCTATCTGTAGCACTGACAATCATATACAAAGTGCCTCTCTATCATAAATATAACGACTTATCTTGCCATCTTCGTACATTATGAAGCAAGTATACAGGATATTCGGACATCATTTTGTTCGTTAAATGTTCGATCTACATACACTACCGGCCAAAAGTTTCGAATAACCTCCCACTTTTCATCAATATTAAATCTGCTGCTAATTTTTTATAGATCTGAAGTTTATCTCAATTCTACATTTATCAATTTATGTCATATCAATTGATTCGAATGATGAAAAATTCTCAAAGCTGCTCGACTTTTTTCTGGAAACTTTTGCGTACATTGCAATGCTCGGTGATTCCAAACTTTTGGCCGGTAGTGTATATGCTAAACTGCTTTAATGGTAGAGTATCTTATCTAGAAAGAGATGTTTACACGAATAACTTTTTCCATTTACTATGAATATTCAATTGCAACTTTTCTTCTAATATTTTACTTCTCTATTTTGCAACGGTAATTGATTCTACGTAAAACGTACTTTCTCATATTTTTACATAAACTACACGAAGAAAATAACTATGTAGCTTTATTAGCTATTCTATGTTTCACTTGGTATACATCATAGAGTGGAAACGTATCGTTATGTGCAGTATTAATCGACACACCTATAAAATGTTTGCAACAGCATATTTTATGAAAATTCATAATAACGATTTTGAAACACTTGTAATGCAGGATGCTTCGCAGATTAGGAAAAGCTTGAATGTTTAAAAAGGTTAGAGACAGAAAAAAATGTCGTAAGACAAAATCAAATGGTATTGGGTTGAACGGAAAGTTCATGCATTTTTTATTACACGAGATGCCACTGTATCGTTTTGCTACGTAATTTGTTAGTAGTTATTCTTTTGTTTCCATAACCTCATTTAGTATTCTACCTCGGGCTGTAATAATAGGTATATTTTGAAACACTTCGTCGCTTTGAAATGACTAGAAAACTCGATATCTGTGTTCCGCACTTGCTGAATGAGAAAAACAAGTTGGATCGGGTATCAAAATGTGTTTCATTAAAGAATCGACAACGGCGGGAGCTATTTTTCAAACAAATGGTCATATTAAATGCTCTAAAGTCCGTTCAATTTAAGAGTAACCTCGCTCTCGGACCGATTTTCGTCCGTTCTTGCGCAATTCCCGCTACTACCTACCGATGTGACGCATGCGATTTGTCGTAACGCTATTTCGGCTAGTACCAAAAGCGACGGCAATGTAAACAGTGCATAGAGTGGAGAGAATCTACCCGGTGGTCTAAAAGTGTGCATACCTACTATGCGCGTGTTAGAGCGCAGCGGTTTGACACAGACGAATAGAGGCTAGTTGTATGAATTTAGGGAACGATTAAAATTCTATAAATATAGGGAAAATCATTTAAGACCAAAAAGAGAACAATACAAAAGTAAATAGAGAATTAATTATATCACCGTGTATATGAGGCGATACGCCCGGAACAGTAGACAGAGAGCATAGCAGAGGGTAAGACGGAGAAAAATGTAGGCGGTTAAGTCGGGGTTTGG